ATGGTAAAGGAGACGATCATGTGTACTCCGACTATCAAGTGAGTCAACTTGTATAGTGAATTTGGATATGGGACGTGAGGCACAATAGTGTTCAGGCACCGAGAGTTTACAAGATAACAAAAATGAAAACATGTTACGATGGAGTATGTAAAATTGTATTACCTTTAAATGGCACTAAATGTGAATTTATAGTAAAAGAAGATGAACGGTCATTATTGGATGAAAAGACACGTGGACTCATCTGATGATTGATGGCTCTCCTCCTCGGCATCACACCATCAATCATAAGCTAAGGCATTTAATGTTTATGAAAAGTAGTCACCCTATAATATAAGTGTGACACTGAAAAGTAGACTGCCAAGTTGACCATTTAGGTGTATGATATAGAAATGTCACATCAATCAATCATTAAAAAATAAAAATAAAAAAATTCTTGTACTAAAGATCTCTTCGAATAGGTGGAGAGGTATCTTCCCCAATGAAGCGGCTAATTACCTCATATCACTTCTACTGCAGATTCCACATCGCTTAGGTCACAAAGGGTCGGCCACTACATGGCACCTCCATGGAGGTGATGTATCACTTTAGCTACTTTAGTAGGTCGTTGGCACGACCAGGTAAGACGCTGATGTGAAGTGTAAGCCTCTTTGTGCTTGCTAGCTATCTCTCACATGACATTCTCCGGAGCCACATTAGAAGATTCGTAAAATATGATAATGAGTTAATGCTTAATCAGATTTTCACTTTTTTTAGATGATTCGTTTGATGTCCCATTAAAAAAAAATTGATTGAAAAAATAAAGAAATAAATAACTTTTCTTATTCTGTTTCTTTACCTTTTTGAGATGATTTGTGTGATGTAAAATGATCCACTTTTTAATTCTAAAGAAGGTTTTGTTGTTTGTTCTTAAGTATGATATCTTAATTTGTCTTTAATTGATTGAATGCGTAAACTTACAAGTCTCAAAAAAATTCTTTAGTAATTCATTGAATGATTGATCCAAAGAGCAGCACTGTCATGGAGTTTTATTTCCGATTAAGGAGGGGCCAATACGTAGTGACCTTATTATTTATTGTTGTTCTGCGTTATGTCCACTTGGATGTCTGGTCAACCATTCATTAGCTTGCCCATGTGTTATGGTACGGATATTTATGACGCGATACTAACATCCCTAAATTTTAGAAACAAGATTTAATCACAACTTTCAAACATAACGATGAAAAATGTTAACTCATGAAAAAGGATTAAAATGTCCATAAAATTGCCTATAAATAAGCCAATGCACAGTTGAGAAGGGAGCAACTTTCAATTTATATATCCTAAAGATTGAAATAACATCTCCAATCGTGAAACAAACTCCGGCTAAAAGAATGCCAAGTACCACACTCTACCTCTAAAACGGAAGATAGGCTTTAAATACAACGAAGATTCACAATAGAGGGAAAACCTAGATTTTTTTTTTTTTTTTAATTACCGGTTCAATCCCGGTTTGATCGTTTGATCTTTGACCCTTTTTGTTTTTCAGGTCAAGTCCCGGGTCTTTAAATTATTGAATAAAAGGTAAAAATATTTTCTTCTATTTATCCTTAATTTTACTTTTATTGAAGGTTAAGCACATGAATGCTAATTGTTTATTTTGAATTAATAGGTTAATTACCCTGGTTCCTAAATGACTTTTGTGATTTCTTGGAGGAAAAACAAGAATTAAAAACAAATTGAGGTAAGGCTGCTTTGAGCACAGTGATTTTTTATTTTATTTATTTATTTGAAAAACTAGAATCCAATCAAATCGATTCGCATAACTTCGATAAATTTTCAAACATAAAATCAAGCTATTCTTTCAACCAAATTGAACTAAACCAAATCGTAAAAAGATATTTTGACTTTTTTAAAAGGTGGTTTGTTTTTTTCTTTTCCCATTTGTTCATGATTTCAGTATAAATTTTGTCAATTCAGGAATACATGGATCTTGAATACTACATGACCCAACAACTAATTGAGAAAAGTGATGTATATAGTTTTAGAGTCATACTATTAGAGCTATAACTAACAAAGCCCCTTTAAGCATGTAAAACACATTGTAAGAACGATTCAAGAGGTGTTGGATGATCCAGAAGGTACTAAAAATCTTGATAAAATTCTTGATCTAGCTACAAGATCAGGATCATAAGCTAGAGGCCTAAAAAAGTTTCTGAATCTTGCAATGAACTATGCTGGAGTCGACCTACAATGGGAGATGTCGTGAGAGAGATTGAGAACATCTTGGAATTGTCACCCGAAAACAAGAAAATGGACACACAATTTTCACGATCTAGCTATGAGAAATCAAACGACGAGAGTCCTCTCCATTCTTAGGACACTGGGGTGTTTGATGTCTGCTATGGTTATTTCCGTTTCAGCATAGAGCATCATTTCGGGAATTAATCAAGTATAATGAATATCTTGATGATCCAATGTGCTTTCTATATCTTATTGAAACTATGAATCATTTGAATTTGGGGTTATCAATTTATTGATCATAGGAAGTTGTACACTCAAGAACTGATACATTAGGTGGTAGAAAGCTAAAAGGTGTGACCGATTTTATTTTATTTTTTATTTTATTTTATTTTTATGCAGTTTTACTCAGTGCGCACCTGAAAGGTAGCGGCTGCGAGTTCTCCCGCCATAAAAAAAAATAAAAAAATAAATAGTTACACTTTGTCAACTATCAATAGATTAGGTTTTATTTTGTTATTCTTCTTATTTCATTTGAAAAAAAAAAAAGAGCACTTTCATTATGTAGTATTCCACCCGTCTTTTTTTTCCACACGAATTAAGAAATTTTATTTAATGATATTGAAAAAGCATTTTTTGTCAAAAACTTTCATAATTTACTCTTATTTATTTTTGTACAATTTCAAGATTAAATGGGAAAATTTGATTATAACCAAGCAAATTAAATAAGAGTATATTAGTAAACAAACAAAACAAAACATTCTCAATAAAGAAACAAGATTATATAATTGGGATAAGAAAATAAGAAATGTCGGCCTATATAAATGAAATGGAGAGAGTATTTCATTTACCATATGCAACAGTTTAACTTCTTTTTATTGGTTTAATATTGTACAATATTATTCAATTCAGCTTACTAAAAATAA